GTTACAAAAACTAGAGGCCATCACCTAAAATTGGTGGAAAAAAAATTCCAGCACAAGGGGCGAAGGGGGTTCTTCACAGTAAGATCAGTTAGGGTCTGGAACTCACTGCCACAGGCGGTGATTTCAGCAAATAATGTGGAATTGTTCAAGAAACTTTTGGACGATTTCTTAAGGGACCGTAATATACAGGGGTACAGGTACTCCTAGAATGAGATCCTAATAGGTTGGACTTGATGGACTAATGTCTTTATTCAACCTCAAATACTATGTAACTATGTAACTATGTACCGCTCTGCTCCAGGGTGGCGGCCTGATGCCTTGGCTGAGGGTCTCACCAGGAGCTAATGTGGAGGGTCTCAGCAGGGTAGATGCGGGTGATCGCAGCAGGCAGGGGCAGATGTGACAAATAGCAGCAGGCAGGGGCAGATGTGACAAATAGCAGCATGCAGGGGCATTTCTAGCAAACGTTTGCATAAAAACAGGTATTCTTAGATTGCATATTTTGTAATATATGTTCAAGCTGGCCAACTGTGTCAAAGTGATCCATCTCTGGCCAACTGAGTCAAAGTGATCCATATCTGGCCAACTGAGTCAAAGTGATCCATATCTGGCCAACTGAGTCAAAGTGATCCATCTCTGACCAACTGAGTCAAAGTGATGCCACGCTGGTCAACTGCGTCAATGTGATCCCTCTCTGGCCAACGGTGTCAGTGATCCCTCTCTGGCCAACGGTGTCAGTGATCCCTCTCTGGCCAACAGTCAGGGCCCAGTCACACCATCAAGAGTGCGTTCCAGTGCATTTGGTCTCTGGAACGCACTGAAAGGCAACCTGGCCGGCTCAGTTTTTTGGGGGGGGCGGGGGCATGGCGGCAAATTGAACTCAATGGCCCCACCGCCCCTGCGGTGTGATCACCATCACTCGAACGCGTGGCACATTAGTGCCTGCGTTCCGGTCCAGTGCAATCTGCAAAAAAATGTGTTTGCAGCATTTTTTGCAGATCGCACTGGACCAAAACGCAGGCACTAATATGCCATGCGTTCGGGTGCCGGCGATCGCAACGGGGGCGTGGCTGTGGTGCCATTGAGTTCAATGCGCCACCACTCCCCCCTCCTGCCCCCAAAAAACCCGAGCGGGCCAGGTTGCGTTCCAGAGGCCGAACGCACTGGAATGCACTCCTGTTGGTGTGACAGGGACCTAAAAGTGATCCATCTCTGGTCAACTGTGCCAAAGTGATCCCTCTTCTCCCATTGTTTAAATTAGGAGTAGCCAAATTTGGGTCATCCAGCAGATGAAGAACTACAAGTCCCAAGAGGCATTACAAGACTCTGCCAGCCGCAGGCATGACTTCCAGAGGCGGAGGCATGATGGAATTTGTCGTTTCACCACAACTGGAGGGCCCCTGTTTTAAATGGCGCTGTTTGAACTCTGCGTTGACCTCCATTGCTTGTCTTTTGATGCGTTGACACCGTTCCTCAATGTGTCCAAGAAGAAATCAGGGTTTGCCTGGAGTTGATTTTTTGAAAGGCTTTTATTTCTTTGCAGAATATTATAACATATTATCATTTTTTATCATTTCTGAGAACCAAAATAACATCAGAGCTGCATTCTGCATAGTGGCCAGCATGGGGAGCGCCTTCTCCTCTCCGCACAGGACACGCGCAGTGTGAATAGACTACATTTCCCAGCAGCACACAGGTAAGTGAAACTCCGCTTCTGATTGGCTTAGGAGGGAGGCCGTTCACAGAGGGACAAGAAGGGGATTGTTTTGTTGTTTTGAGGTTTTTTTAATGGATGGAGAGGCGGGTATTGATGAGCGGGTGATGAGCGGCAGGGGACGGCAATAGTGAGAGAAGTGACCGTGGGGCGGTGATTGGCTGAAAAGTGACAGCTGGGTGTGGAATAGGATGAGTGATAGTGAATACAAGGGAGAGAAGTGACAGTGGGGCGGGGCTTCGATGGAGAATGGCAGCGGGGATTGGAAGAAGCGTGAGTGGGGCGGAGAGTGAATGAAGATGGTAGTGCGGGGGATTGGTAGAAGAGTGACAGCGGAACGAGATCTTGGAGAGGAGTGACACTGGGGCGGGGTCTTGGAGAGGAGTGACACTGGGGCGGGATCTGGATAAGGCGTGAAAGTGAGGCGGGGTCTGGGAGCGGATTGACAGCGAGGCGGGATCTAGGAAAGAACTGAGGGGGCGGGGTTTTGGGCAGAGGGGTGACAGCGAGGCGGGGTCTTGGAGAGAACTGACAGGGGGCGGGGTCTAGCTCGCTGGGT